TTTTCATTTTACAAAGTATTACATTAAAATATTAAGCTGTCCTTCATGGAGTCATTTTATTGTATTTTTATATGTCTAGTGAATCCAGTAAAATGGATACTTTAATTTACTGGATTAAATTCTAAATTTAAAAAAAAAAAGTTGGATAAAAAATTGCACACCCAAATGTTTGAGTCATAGTTCAGATTATTGGGCTAAAACTGCAGGGCCATGCTCAACCTTGATTAACTTCTGGTTCGTGAAGTTTCCCTCTCTCCCACACCCCAAATCTAGACCCTTGATGCTACCTCCTGCTACCCACCTGCCTACTCTCCTGCTACCCTCCTCCCCACCTCAGCTGTGACCAGAGCTTTCTTCAGCAGCAAATACTGGTTGATCTCTTCTAGGTGGGCCTATTTTTTCAGTATTCAGCCACATACTTATTATTATATCATTTATTCTAATGAATCTAAAATGGTAATAGCTTGGTATAGCTCCATTTAGGTCTTCATCTAAGCCCAGTAAAAGTGCCAGTACTTCAGAGAGGAGTGGTGCTGGTATGAGACAAACGGAGCAGCAGGAGGAAGCTTGAAAAGCCCATTTTATCTTTTGCTTTTGGCAGGGAGGGATTTGATCATATAAATGTTTACCCTTTAAACGATAGTGCTTCTTAAAAATAATTTTAAAAATTACATTATTCTATTATAAAAATATAAAACTTGTGAATAATTAGTTCACAATGAAAAAAGCTTTTGTGTCCAGGTGGAGTCCTGCAGCTCCTCTAACGAGACGTAGTGAGGAAGGAAAAGGAAGAAAAGGACTTTTTCTTCCATGTATTTTGGCAGAGACAGAAGATAAAGCACCCACCTTTCATAGATAACATTTAACCCTTCCATAACTTCCTCATAGAATTAGTGCTCTGCAGAAAACATCAGACTATTGAGAAGGCTAGGCTTAAACCACAATTATATGAATCCTTCCATTGCAACCCATCTCCCCCTGACAACTGATATTTTACAATGCTTCTAGGAGGCTGCAGGATGATACGAAGGGCAAGTGACAGAATAATGGTAACTTCTTGTACGGTGATGTAAAGATTTTCACAACAACACTTACAGTCTGGTCTGTACCCATCAGGCCGAGATGTTCTTTTCACCAACAAACTGTAATTAAGAACAAAATTTAAAAAAAAATCCAAATATTCATCTGAATTACACACTTAAAAACCAAGCCCCTTCATCGAAAAGCTCCTGAGCCATACGAACCACTGCTCTTTTTCTGTTTCTCCTTCGACAGTATCCTAATGGCAGGGAAAAAAACTGGGTGTGTTTCCCTTCAAAATCTATCAGTGCCAGCCTTGAAATGGCTGAAGGGGTCATTGCCACTGCAGAACAATACAGAAGCATTTCCTTTCCTTTCCTCCACCCTCTTCTTAGTGACTCAGGCAGCTTCTCTGCAGAGCTCCCCATGCGATGCTGCAGCACAGAATTAAAACGGGAACGTGGAATGGGAATCTCCGCTGGGAAATACATTGGGCCAGAGCAATTAATTACAAAATTTTGTGATCGTTTTACTCACCTCGCCACTTTAATCATTTTTGGCTTGTATTTTTCTATATTATTAAGCAGAACCTTCATAGTTCTCCCAGTTCCAACAATATCCTTACAAAACATTAAAAACACAACAAGTTAAAAACAAAGGAAAGCTGAAACAAGGAAATTTGAACAATTACTGGGAAGTTGCATATTCTTATTTTGTGGAAATGATATATTTCTCCTAGTATATTGTGAGCCACATCCAAAAAGGGGTGTAAAGAGTGTGAGACTCTTTGAAGCAAGCACCTTGTACTCATAAAATAAAGACATAAAGGACTGTCCACTTCCTCTTGAAAACAGCTGTTTCTAGTATTTGGGATACTGCAAGGGATGGGGGATGACTTTACTGGGCACTGAAAGTATTCAGGGATCAGACTTTTCATATTTTATCCTCAAGACTATGGTACGTGAACATCTCTCCATCCCAGGACTAAATCTGCCCTATTTGTTTTTTTCTTAGACCAGTACAAATGAGTATTATCCAGATCTCATTTGGAGATCTCTCGTACATACCTGGCTACACAACTGAACACCACTGGAGAGCAGCTGTTGATCCTGAGCTTTACGGCTGTGTATTTTTCATTAGCAAAACCTTGCCTCTGCTCCTCAGCTACCTATGAGCATTAACAGAATTTGCTGCAGACATTTTTCACTTCTGTTACAGCAGTGATCATTAATGAATACGGAGCTCCCACCAGTTACTCAGGTCACAGTCATTTCTATGCCTGATGACTTTTTTCTCCTCCTTTTCCATGAAAAGACATTCCAGCAGCTGTGCATTTCCTTCATCATGCCACCTAGCCTCCTTCTCACACAAGCAGACTGGGCCTGAAATGCCAGCCAGATCCTGACGTGCTCTCTAAACATCCTGGTTGCTTTCCTGACATTTTAAAACAGAATCACCTACATTATTAATTAAGGAAGATTTTGCAGCACCGGTGAGGTGACACACATTCTTCTTCTCTACAACTGAACATCGCAGATTTACATCAGCAACATCTCTGTGATGGACCTCCCCAGGGGACGCTCCAGGGTGCAGTGCTAATGAGCAGGAGTCATGGGGACTTGAGAGAGTGACTGACGTTCTCATCCAGCATGGGAACAACCCTGAAGTTGTAAAGCATGTGTAGGGCTACGCTGCCATTTCACAGTCACGCTATAAGGAAGTTTATGGCATCAGTGCAGTTGATTCACTGTCCTCCAAGGAACAGAACGACTTGCAGAACAGGAGCTCACAAAGCCATAAAAATACCACACCAAGTGACGCAGAAAGTGACTGCTGGGTATCACAAGCAGAGTACAAATTAGAGTGCCAGCAGTGTAGTTTGATCCCTTGTGCAATTGCAAAAAGGCTGAGATGTTATTAAGCAAATCAACCCTTCCTCTTCACCACCTCCCAGCCAAAGAAGTCTAAACACAGTTGTGTTTTACCTAGACTTTACTATGTGACTTTCTCCAAGTACAATATGACAGAAGAAACACCCAACTTACCTCTACAATTAAAACATTCTGCAAGAAAAGAAAAAAAAAAAAAAGAAAAACTGTTACACAATGTTCACAAACTAAAAGAAACAAATGTTTGAAAAAGTGAAATGAAGATAGGTCCATGTGCATATGTACAACAGGGCACAACACAAGGAGCCTTCCTGTTTCATTTCTGTGCCCTGAATAAGAGCCAGCCACGAATAGCCGGCAGTCAGGGCCTATGACTTTATTCAGCTCTGTCTAGATTACCTGCCTTGTGCAAGAATGGATGTAGCTTGGGAAAATACAACTAGATGTAGGAAATCCAAATGGGATGAACTGCACTTCATACCAGTGTGTCCAGTGGTGTACTACAGTGTACCCAATAGCTTACTAAAATACTATTTCCCAACTTTAATATGAAACTACAGCAATGATATTCTCACTCTGAAATAAATGTTCTTCCTCTCCCCCCCACCAGCAGCCTCACGGTAAAGGATTACATGGCGAGCTGTACCACCCATTCTCAGACCGTGACACAATAGCAAAAAGGAAGTTTTTTCACATATATCTCTGTATACACCTTACACGTGTGTGTACATTACGCAGATAGTTTCATGTCTATGCAGTATTCACCCAGCTGGCTTTATACTCCACTTCCCTTTCTATCAAGCTCGTTGGCTTTGCCACCTACACAAAATGGAGGCTGTCTAAATTTCTTTTCAACCACACAGTCCTAAAGCTGAGAGTTCGGAGAAAGACTCAAACACCGTGGAAAAGGAGTGTGTGAAGGGGGAATGCTTATAAACAGCACAGCTTTGGCAGTTTCATTCACTGGTCACAATTTTTTTTTTGTTAATCTGCAAACTGGAACTGATTAATACACATCACCTATATATATACATATATATATCTATCTATACACACACACACGTATTCAGATTGCAGTCCCTCCTAACAATCACAGTGCTTGGCAGGGAGACGTGGCATGCGTCATGCACACAGCCATAGATATGCAGACTATGTTACCACACACCATATAATCCCCTGGATGCTTCTGAAATGGCAAAACACTTGGTCAAGTTGTGGAGGGAGCTCCCCGTAGCAGTTCAGCCGATGTCAGCAGTGGAGCTATCACTCAAGAAAGCCACTAATTTAGACTGAGCTCTGATGGAATGTGTGTTAATCCTGGAGGGTGGCTCCTTTTTGGTGTTTTCATAACAGGTTTCGCTGGTGGTTATCCTGCTCGGCACTCCTGACTTTCAACCTCCCAGCAGCTGACAAAAACAACTCTGGATCTGAAAGACCTAAACCTGCGGAGCTAAAAAGTCAAAGACCTCCTAACAACGAGAGCCCAAAGATGTCCTGCCTCTAGAAACATCTTCCTTCAAGAAAGAATGGAAATAAGTCAATCCCCTAGATAAAATGAAGAGATCATGCTCAGGAGAAGCTTATGGCAGGCTTACAGGGACATGCATTCTTAAAGGAAGCCACTTGGATATGAAAGAGTTTGGCTCTCAGGAGAAAAACCCTTTCCAAAGCCTAGCCCAGGACACCTGGATCTGAGGCAGATCACTCCTTTCAGTCAGTGGACACCTGAAGATGATTTGCAGGTCTAATGGTTAAACCATCTCCATACATGCAAGTGTCATATTGGTATCTATGTATGTATGATACACAGAGAGCAGAAGAGTGGACAGGTATGCAGAGAGGTGTAGGAAAGAGCCTCAGCAGAACTGAAGCTGGAAACGAGCTCCTTCAGTACCAGCAAACAGACCAGGATGACTGCAGCTGGCATCTGGTGGGAGAGGCTGACCCGATAACACGGCCTGGCACCCTGACTCACTCTGCCAGCTCGGTGCACCTCCTGCTGCTCCTCATGCTGTTTACAAGAACAAACATATCAGATATATTTTCCCAGAGGAAAAGCAAACATCTGGTGACAAGACCCATCCAGCAAGTACAGCATGAGATGCACCAAAACTGGCACGGCAGGGGCTGCAGTGGCCTGCATAAGTAAGGGGTAGGCAGCAAGGCAGGGGCCCCACCAGCCAGGACCCAGCCTCAAGACAGCACCCGATCCAACAGAGATCATAGATGATCAGGCATGTCATGGTGAAGAGGCAGGTCCGAGGGAAAGCTGGGCTGTCAGTCCACAGGTTGGGATCAGGCCCAGTGAGAGTAACCAGGGTTAAACACAGCCCGCTGATACCAGACCCGTCTGCAGTGGTGCAACAGGTCCAAGGTTGAGCTGGGAAGCCAGTCAGTCAGTCTGTGAGTCAGCCTGGTCCATAACGAGGCACAGGCGTGGCTGGAGCTGCCCCAAACATCAGAACTCAGCACAGGTCAGGCACTGAAAGCCTGGGGCTGAGCTGAACTGGAGCTCCTGTGTCCACAGGTGTGGGAAGGGGCCCTCAGTGAGATGGGTCAGGACCATTAAAGTTTATTAAGTGCACCCTGGGCCCTGAGAGATTTCAGAGAAAACCATAGTCCTGGGATGGTTTTTGCTACTGTAGCTGCTTCAGCTATCCTATCTCAAGAAGAAGCATAGATTCCCTTGCTTACTTGCAAGCAGAAATAATAATAATAAAAAAATAGATAATGAGGGGACAGCAGCCTCCATTCCCATGGAATTGGGATTAAACAAACAGGAAGGAACAGACCTTACTAATTAACTCCTGAGGAAAAAAGAATAGCAGACAGTAATGGAAAGCAGGGCTCAGGATACCTTGAAAGGTCATCAAGAAGACTTTTGATATCCTTGGCCCAAAGAATCAACTTAAGCTATTGCTCGCAGATATCTGCTTTACCTGTTCTTGAACATGGTGAGGACTTCAGAACTTCCTCAGGTATTGTGCCTCATTATCTAAGAGCAAAAATACAGTTAGAAAACCTCTTTTGTTATCTGACCTCAATACGTTTTGCTGTGGACACAGAAATGAAATTTTCCTCCTTCCACATTTGAAGACAGATATATTTGTTTCCTCTTCTCCATTTTAAACTGTCCCTATTTATTCAACATTTTCTCACAAGTTAAATTTTCTAGATCCCTGAATGTTCTTTTTTTCTCCTCTAGAACCTGTCCAGTTGGTCAGAATTCTTCCCCAGCTGTGGTGCCCCAAGCCAGAGAGAAACCTTTTCAAGCCTTCAGAAGAATAAGAGCCACTTTGTATGCCTTACAAATAGCCCTCCTTTCTACAAACTCCAATACAGGGATTACATCTTCAGTAAAGGTATGCTGCTGTCTCATGTTCACCTTGGGAACTACTTATCGTCTCCAGCACAGAACTGTTGCTTAGTCAGTCCTTCCCCATTTGCACTTATGCAAAAGATGACTTCTATAAAAACACAGAAGTTAGTATTCATCTTTGTCGTTACATGTCATTCTTTGAGTCAAATTCTTAAAATAACTTCTTAAGATCCTAATCCTATCTTGTAGTATTTTTCCAGGTAGTATCATTAGCATGAAATGCTAATCCAGTCTTCTAAATCATGAATTAAATATTGTATAGTCCCTGGAGAATGTGCTTTAATTCACCCAGTCTGACAATGAAGCATAATTAACAGTTTCTTGAGAACAGCTTTCCAACCAGTTATACATCCATCTAATACAAATTTAATCTAGTCTACATTTCCCTATCACAAATGACTCACATGAAGCAAAGAAGATGAACGTGGAATCAGACATCCCTGAAGGACTTGTCTGGCCACAAGAGTGATAGTCACCTGCACAAAACTTCAGCTGAAGGGTAAGATCTCATATTGAGTAATTATCTTGAGAAGGAATGATATTGGTGGACCCTGAAATTCTCTGCCCAGTGCTTTGTTATCCTTACCACTTCCTACTCATATTCAGTAAGTCCAAGAGCCGTAAATTATATGAGCTGGGAGATTTGGTTCTGTGAAAGTCCCTTTAATCAGGTGGCTTGTCTATCTTAGGAAACACAGATTGTGCATAACACAAACCAGACTTTCTCATTATTGCCAAAACATTAATGAGAATTTTCTATGCTGTGGAGACACCCTGTATGTAAAGACTTTGTAGTGGAAAAGCCACTATAAAATACTGAGATATGGAAACAGTTTGTGTGTATAAGCAAGCAGGCATCCTGACAGAGATGACACATTACTCCCCATTTTGATTAGGCAGCAGGGTTACTGTGACTGATGTTACCATACTTAACTTGTGCTTGGGATTGAAGGCATTCAAAATGGTTTGCCAGCCTCTGGTACCAGAAACCAGTTCCTTGAAAACTATGGGATGTGCTGGGAAACTGGTGGTATTGCTACTTATCCTCTGCCTTTCTCCCACTGAAGCAGGCTCCTGCTAGAAGGGCTCCAGGAAAGGGATGGCATTGCAGAGCAGCAGAGAAGCAATCTGCAAAGGAAGGTTTTGACACACGGCATATCTGAGAGGAGGTAGTGGTGATGTGCAACCACAGCTGGTTGAAATGGATTAGCTTATCCTTGAGCAGATGGATAGGAGAAGATAAAAGAAGAATGTGACAAATTGTTACACTATCAGCAATGTCACCGTCATCCTAAATGCACAGCTGACTGCATCCAGCATCCGCTGGGAAAGGTCACAGGTATGAGCAGGTCCTGTGCAGCTTCACCATGAAATCCACCCCTGAGGTGGTGGGCAGGAGACTGGTAAAACTCATCAGCTCGAGGAGTTACCACAGCGACTGACAGCTGGAACAAACGACGTGATGCTAAAGGACTCTGAAGAAAAGGTCTTTTTCCAAGTCTATGTAAATGTTTGAGACTCTTGCACCACACAGATGAAAGCTGTTTTGTCCTTTCAGATACAGCTGTGGTGATTGCAGAGGAGGAAACCACATGAAAAGAAAAGTAATCTGGCCTTCTGGCATGCATTTGATATTTTCTGTCTATTTTTGGAGCTTGGAGAACAGGAAGCGGGAATATTTAGTGACACGTTGACTAGACTGAAGATGGCTTAATTTCTGAGTAGAGCCATCTTTACCAATATGAACTGTGAAGTATGTCCAGAAATCTAATAATGGCTCTAATATATCTGACAGTCAGACACACAGAGAAGAGTCATTTTTTAAAATATGTCCTGGAAATGCTTCTCTTAGCCCAAAGAAAGAAGGGGCAGTGGCTCAGCTCTCAAAGAAATTGAAAAACTTTTCTACTCAGCCATTACAAAAGAATCAGTAGCTCTCATCGCTGATGGCTCAGAGGAATGGTATGGAGCTGATAGATATGGGTGGCTGTGATTCGTGCTGTCTTTATAGCTTTTCCTACCAGGTAGTAGGCTGGTGCAATAAATACTTTTTGAATGCAGGAGGGAGAGGGTTTCTGATAAACTTACATTTCTCCAGTTTTGAGTGACCAGGGTGCACACAACTTCTGATTCTACATATGGATATTTGTACTGAATAGGAATAATACTTACAGTGTGAACTGGATCTACACAAAGATAAAATTTGCTTTCATATCTGTTTGTTAGGCAGTAGTAGAAATGATTCATTGCAGCATGGACATCTGGAAAAAGCAGGATGTTTTTGACAATATTAGATGTAAAATGCAGTAGCCATCATTTCTACTTCCTGCTTTCAATGGGAATCTGTCTCTCACGTTAAAAAGACACGTTCACTTTTATAACGAGTTTCAATGCATTTGTGAATTTTAAACTTAAGTGGGAAACCTGAAAGAACTGAGCAGCAGTTTTCTCTGCTCTATTGCCTTTCAAAGCCACATGAGCTAACGCACGGCAAGAAAGTAGGTTGATATTACAACACACGTAAGAAAAATCCAGACTTGTGATAAGCTGAAAAATACTCCAGCCCTGAGTCAATACATTTCTATTGTTTACCTTCCCACAGGTCAATAACAAAGGGAACAATGTCAGCTAACAAGACCAAGCAGAGTAATGCGATCATGTATACCTCCTGCCTGACAGTAGTAAGTACTATGGAAATTAGTTTTCACCTTCTTGGAAAAGAATAACTTTTTTTTTGTTGTTTTCTAGATTTTGAATTCATGATCTATTCAGAAACTTAATTTCAAAGAAAAAAAATCCTATGCTTTGAAATAGGTAGTGAATAAGCATTGGAGGGAAAGCTTGCCTTTATATTCATGTAAAATATAAAATTTTAACAAAGCAAAATGCCAAGTTGTAAATTTAAAGAGGAGGAGCTTTTCCTGGAAAGCTGATACTCTACTTAAATAACCAAATAAACAACAGTACTTAATGCAATACTACAGCTAAGAGGACAAACACGGTCCTTGCATGTCTAGCAAGAAGCTCAGGTAGGTACCTAAAGAGAATATTTTCTCCTTAAATGTCTCAGTATAAAATCAATAGAACAACATGCACACACATTTGAGGAAAAAAAAAAAAGTTAAAAAAATAGAAATAACTTAAAACTGGGAAAAGCAAAATGATTTGAAACCTGGGAAAAACACCTTAGAGTGAAATATGGTTTGTAGCAGGAAGTAATAGCTTTTATTTAATTAACAGCCCTGTTCCCAGTGGGAGAACATTTTTCACAAAAGAACTTTGACCTCTCAGCCCACAACCTCAAAGCGACCACAAAATACCTTCAACAGCTGAGCCTGGGAACAAAAATTCAGAACTGCTGTATGCACTAGAAATCATGGACTCGATAAAATACTGGGTTTATGGCACGTTATCATCTTCCACGGCAGCTGACCTCCAACTCATTTATCAGTGTTCCACAGCTGTTAATTTGCTCTCTTATTTTAGCTCGGAGAAATTCTTAACATTTTTATCTGCCTCTTTGGTCATAGGGCAGGTGATCATGTAGGACAATCACCATTTTCTCCTGTACTGACTGTCTTAACTGATTACCACATTAGTTCAAAATTAAGAATTACTCCCAGTCTTGGCTTGAAGTCTGCCAGTTCTGTTCTGACGAACAGAAGGATCTGCATGCTTGAAATTTTGTTTCTTCCACATATCTCCACTGGCCTAATATTAATTCCCAGTTGTTAATTCTACCTTCAAACCTGCCTCAGTTACATCCTACAGTATGCCAGCACTTTACAACAGGCTCCCAGTGCGTTGTTTTGTCAGATGGTCTCCAGAGGGCCCTTCCAGCCTCAACCATTCTGTGATTCTGTGACTTCAAAATAGTCAGTAGCTCAAAAGAGCAACTGTGGCCCCATTGAAGAAATTGGTGTGTGGCACCCTTCAGTCTGAATTACCCAAGAGTTCAGACAAAAATGTAATGGTGCTTTTGGATCTTAACAACTAGGTATCTCTAAACAAAGCTGTTTTAGGCCAAATAAGTGTAGGGCAAGGGAAAAAAAAAAATGGAAGAAAGGAAAAGTACCCTACCATGGCAGGATTTGCAGAATTATTAAGGTAGTAGTTCAAAAGGACAGATTTACCTATGTTTTGTAAAGATCACAGAAGGTAATCAGGTAGCAAGCTTAAAAGAAAGATAAAGAACTTTTATACATGCATCTCAAACATGAAACTCTTTGCTGCAGGATCTTGTAGGACTATCAGCTGCATAACTGGAATTGCAAAGAGATAAGACAGATATGGATAGTAATTTTAGCACTGGACCTATTCAAAATGATAGCCCAGATTTAACTTTGATTCAGGAAGTCTACATACTAGTTATGTTTCATATATCCTTCCCCTACTATGATTCCAGTTGGCTGCTGCTGAGGATGTGACACAAGCCTAGACAGACCTTTCATCTTGTATAGCATGGCAGTAATGGAATGGTGGTCTTATGAGGGGAGAAAATACATGGAAATTGCAACTGGTGGAAATACTTTTCCCCGTAAGTCCCCACTGGTGTCCTGAGTTCCTTCCTCTCTCCTTTTTGCTCAGAACTATGCTTCAGCTCCTTAGGGATACGCGTTACATATTGTTAGTTACACCAGCTTATAAAGTATGCATGAATAAACAACTGCTGGAAACAGTGATTTATTTTATACATCCACTCCCACGGATAAAAAAGCATATTCTTACAAAAAATACAAAAGACTGAAAAAGAAAGATACAGTCCCACTTTGTGTATTTCTTTTTTGAAGGGTGAGAGGTGGAGGACTACAAAGCAGTATATTTTCATTCCCTTTAGGTCAATTTCCATTCAAAAGTCTGCATTTTCATTTAGACTATTTCTAAAGGCACTTTCTTTTCCTGTGTGCTCTGTGCCATCAAAAGATAGATAGATTGATAATGTAGTTGTTCAAAATGAATTGCTAGCCAATTATCAGTTTACTTATCATCCCTACAGTACCAGCTCTTTCAGCTTTGTATTTGGGCAACCTCAGGTCCCGTTGATTGAACAAGGCCTTTCATGACAACTTCAGTTGGGTTTGAAGAAGCAGTGACAGGGCTGAAAAATCATCAACAAACAAAAGCTAATGATAATGCATCAGGTCTCAGTGAGGAGGTCTGAAGGAAGCTACGAGGACAGCTGTTAGAACTGGAATCATTTAACAGTATGCACAAGAAAGAAATCCACATGTACTAACACCTCGTCAAGATGATAGGAAATAATGAGAGACTTCTGAGAGAGTAGACATTTAAGTAGGAGCTTTTAATGTGGTTCCAGAAAAGGTCATGAATTTCTGATTTTAATCCCTTCTGCTGAGCTTATGGCATCCTAAAAAGACAGGCACTGTAACTCAAAAATGCTTCTTTTAAAAAAAAAAATCAATTTGGTCAGTGTCAGCTGCTGATGGGAGCAACTCGGTTAGTGCCTTAGGAGCCTATGTACTCAGACTCCAGCTGCTTAAAGCCTGTAAAACCAGTTCAGTATCTCAAGGATTTAACAGAGCAGGGGATGTAATGGAGGGAATGATGATGTGCTCTGACTGACTTGGTGCTCTTAGAGAGCACTGGTGTTGAATGCTGCACACGCACATGCCCTGCTCACAGCCATCTTCACAGCATGCTTCTGTTGGGCGTAAGAGGTAGAGCAAATTACCATAATCAATTGGAGTTAATGCAGAAACAGATCATACTTTCCTTGCTCTTACTTGAAGGAAAATACATAATCTTCTGATAGGCTGAAATTGGAAGGGGATTTTTCTGACAAAGGTGAGATCAACAGAATTATCAGCTCACGATATAAAGGCAAATGAGGCCACCAAGCCCTCATTAAAAATGGGACAGGAAGTATGGGAAGTTCCCTTTGTATGTACTTTTCTCCAGAACAAGAACAAAAAAAAAGTAAATAATAATGAACGCTACAGCAGATTACCTAAGAAGGAAGTGCAGGGAAAGGTGATTGACTATGGGGAAAAAAAAAACAGAGTATCTGTTGCTGTGGAAAAAGTGGTTAAGGATGGCAATTGTCAGAAGAGTAGATCGGTTAAAATTTAATTAAGAAAAAAAAACAATGACAAAAGTGACTACAGGTGACAGGTAAGTAGAGGTAAGAAGAGGTACAGAAGATTTGAAATGCTTCAAAATATGCCAAATCAACCTCTGAAGAGATGAAAAAGGTAAGACTGAATGTATGATAGGAATACGATATGATATACAGGTGTAAATACATACAGAGATGTGAAGACAACTGGGGACATGATTACTGCAGAAGTGTACAGTGGATTTTGTGTACCTTTACTGTCATACAAATAATCTCTTGTGCTGTTAAAATACTATCATATAAATAATCTCTCATGGCATTTTTTTCCTGCAAACTTAAGGGCATTATTCCAGAAATGAATACATACAGGGAGAGTGTAATTGTACTCAAGGCAGTGAATATTGAATGAGAAAAAATAATAATAAATACAGAACCAACAGAACTCTAAAACATGGAATGGTGAATGAAAGCATAATACATGTATGTATTTTAAATCCAGAGAATAAAACATGTTACTGCTGCCATGTGGATCATTTATCGATACTGAAATGTACATAATTAAGAGAATGCTAAAGAAACAATTCAAAGTTTGCTAGAAACTATGACAAGCAGAGAAAATGACTGAATAAAATAAGAGAGGAAATGAGAAAAATTAGTGTTGAAAGAAAGTGAGATTGCCTTATGCTCCTGGAACATGTTCCCATGTGACAAGTGGGGCAAGAAAATGATAGACAGTGGATAAATTGATTTGGGTGAGACGTAGACAAAGGAAGTTTAGAGATTTTCTAAGACACATCCTGCCTGAAGGAAGTGGGGACTGACTACTCAATGGTAGATATCTTCCTCCGAGTGAAACCTCTTTTTGATATGAGCTGATCACTTGTTTTAGGGAGAGCATTACAATAGTGATGGAATGATGCTCAAACTAATACAACTAATGCATAGAGAGTCATTCACTTTCCTTTTTTTTCTTGATCTCTACTACCTTCGATACTTTTCTGAAAATGCCCAAACACTGGCTGTCAACACAATGTGTTTAATATGAATAAGGGGAATAGTCCTTCACAAAGAAAATAAACATTGATCCATATTACAGACAGCTAGAATATCAGAAATTCATGGATTCCATAATTATATCACACTAACTAGGTAGCTACTTTGTTTTACTTCAAAATTCTCATTAACCTGACAAATATTACCTGACAATGATTAATTTTGTTCAAATTCTCTGTTATATGGAAATAGTGATAACTATAAAATATATATGAATCTAACTTTGAAAATAAATACATTATCCAAATGAAATGAGTATATAATTGTAAACATAAATTTTAAGTTTGTGAATTTGTCTAACTTGTCTCATTTACATGGAGACAAGTCAAATCAGTATAGGAACTTTTTTGAAAGGTTGTAGGATATTACATACAGAATGATATACAAAATAACTCCTGCCAGTAGACACTTTGGACTACATAACCAGCTCCAAAACTCTTGTGTTTAATGCTTTCTGAGCTCAGTTCTGGATATCAGATTAAAATGATAATTCCATTTCCCTTCAGCAAAGACACAAACCCTAATTTACAGCATATTAAGACAAAACATACACACATACAAATATAAGAGGTAAATGGCAATGATAACTCACAACACTGGTACAGCTGGATCTACTGAAATTTCTAGATCTTCTAAAATTTGTTTTGTTTAAATGCCATGAATACTTTAAAATGTTATGAATAATTACAGTATTATTCAGGATGATTACAGTATTAATGCTGAACATGGTTATACCATTTCTTCTTTTACCTAATCTGTAAATTTTCATTACCATCTCACTTTGAAACCGTGCCTCTGGTTTTCTGGACAGCTACTAATTACCTCCTGTTTTCAAAATTTATTTATCTTTACAAACATTAATGATAATTTTTACCCAAATGAACATTTTAACTTTAGAATAATTGAAAGCTAAGCAGCTACTTAACTATGAAATCAGCTACTGAGATATTTTACGTTCACTACTTTCATCATTAAAGAAGAGATTTTGAAATTATATTTTTTCTGCATAGAAATGAATAGTTACAAAGCATTAGAGTTTCAAGCTATATCAGGACTCATTTTTCAAGTACCTTTATTAATGATTCATACCATGGAAATCTTAATTTTTGCCTCTGTGACCTTCTTCATGGAAGATGAAATTCAAATTGTGTGTTACTTTTTTTTTTTTTTTTGCATAACAGTTTGGATCTGTATGCTAACCCTCTCTCTCTCTGAATATTTTTTCTTTTTCATGGCTTGGGTCATTACACATTTTTTTTCCATGCTTTTATATTTTTAAAACAAAAGCTTTTTCTGTAGAGGTACAGAGGAGAGATTCTTCCCTTTGAAAAGCTGTTATCTTTAACAGCTTTTTAATTTTCTTAATTTTTTTTGCTTTCTCAGAAAAAAAAAAAAAAAAAAAGCTTGCTGTAGAATAGTGTTCATAATTATAATCTTTTTTTTTTTCCCAATAATAGGTAACATATATGAATTAATTGTTCACTAAGACTATTGAATAGCTGAAGTTCCACATATTATTACTTCCTGAAGAGAACTTTAAGATTCAAATCTCAGAATCTTTTGTCTGCAGTTTTCAGAATTGTTAAAGTTATTTATGGTCTTGAACCTTACAGGAAGTTAATGGAACTTATATTCTGAACCCGTGCAGACATTTTAGAAAACACTTTCCATGATCATTAAGTTAATATGGTTTCACCTAGCATATTAATTTTTCAATATAATTACATTCTTCCTATAATAAGTATTCCAAGCAGGCAGAAGCACCCAGCTCCGTTAGAAGCAAGGAAGTTGAATTTACCAGTAAGTCTTCCCCTAATTCATTCAGTGACTTTCAAGTAGTTACTAAAGCCAGCAGTTTTAAAAACGAGCAGCTAAACTAAGGTACTAAAAAACACTTCAAGGAAAGATTTACACTGACTGTAGGAGGCTCTGAATCAATCCACGAAAGGCTGATTAGTAAAACGTGCCGAACATTTTCACTAATTGCTGAAGTCAACAACAGATGGGGGAGTTGGCATCTGTGGACATAAGGCCACTCCTTCATACATCCAACTTTAGACGCACAAGTTTGAACATTTGAGCTCAAGCCTTGTGTCTCACTTCTTCAATCAGTAACACAAGTTGTAAGAAAATCCCATTTTCACATCTTGTGAAAATGCTATTTACTTGTTCACCCACCAGCTGTGTCACAGAGACAACCACACGTACAACCAACCTCCGTGGGTGCCCTTTCAGGAACTCTGCTCCTCGTCCTACCCAACCCTCCTGTCCTGCTCTGCTTCAGCTTGTCCACACCCAGCTTCTATCCTGGGGCTCTTTCCCTCATCGGCCACCTCTGTCGTTCCCAAACCAGCCCCTTCACACTTGCCCAGGACCCCAGACTCCTCACCCAACAATCCAAGTCACCCTTACCCAAGTACCCTCCAGCCTCCCAACACCAAATGTTATGTCCCTGTTCCAGACCTGG